AGCTGGATGTGTGTGGCCCAGATGATGGAGCCCTGGCTGCGTAGACATCCAGGGAAGCAGCCCCCTCTCCAGCTGGATGTGTGTGGCCCAGATCATGGAGCCCTGGCTGGGCAGACATCCAGGGAAGCAGCCCCCTCTCCAGCTGGATGTGTGTGGCCCAGATCATGGAGCCCTGGCTGGGTAGACATCCAGGGAAGCAGCCCCTCTCCAGCTGGATGTGTGTGGCCCAGATCATGGAGCCCTGGCTGGGTAGACATCCAGGGAAGCAGCCCCCTCTCCAGCTGGATGTGTGTGGCCCAGATGATGGAGCCCTGGCTGGGTAGACATCCAGGGAAGCAGCCCCCTCTCCAGCTGGATGTGTGTGGCCCAGATCATGGAGCCCTGGCTGGGCAGACATCCAGGGAAGCAGCCCCCTCTCCAGCTGGATGTGTGGCCCAGATCATGGAGCCCTGGCTGGGTAGACATCCAGGGAAGCAGCCCCCTCTCCAGCTGGATGTGTGTGGCCCAGATGATGGAGCCCTGGCTGGGTAGACATCCAGGGAAGCAGCCCCCTCTCCAGCTGGATGTGTGTGGCCCAGATCATGGAGCCCTGGCTGCGTAGACATCCAGGGAAGCAGCCCCCTCTCCAGCTGGATGTGTGTGGCCCAGATCATGGAGCCCTGGCTGGGCAGACATCCAGGGAAGCAGCCCCCTCTCCAGCTGGATGTGTGTGGCCCAGATGATGGAGCCCTGGCTGGGTAGACATCCAGGGAAGCAGCCCCCTCTCCAGCTGGATGTGTGTGGCCCAGATCATGGAGCCCTGGCTGGGTAGACATCCAGGGAAGCAGCCCCCTCTCCAGCTGGATGTGTGTGGCCCAGATGATGGAGCCCTGGCTGCGTAGACATCCAGGGAAGCAGCCCCCTCTCCAGCTGGATGTGTGTGGCCCAGATCATGGAGCCCTGGCTGGGTAGACATCCAGGGAAGCAGCCCCCTCTCCAGCTGGATGTGTGTGGCCCAGATCATGGAGCCCTGGCTGCGTAGACATCCAGGGAAGCAGCCCCCTCTCCAGCTGGATGTGTGTGGCCCAGATCATGGAGCCCTGGCTGGGTAGACATCCAGGGAAGCAGCCCCCTCTCCAGCTGGATGTGTGTGGCCCAGATCATGGAGCCCTGGCTGCGTAGACATCCAGGGAAGCAGCCCCTCTCCAGCTGGATGTGTGGCCCAGATCATGGAGCCCTGGCTGGGCAGACATCCAGGGAAGCAGCCCCCTCTCCAGCTGGATGTGTGTGGCCCAGATGATGGAGCCCTGGCTGGGTAGACATCCAGGGAAGCAGCCCCCTCTCCAGCTGGATGTGTGTGGCCCAGATCATGGAGCCCTGGCTGGGTAGACATCCAGGGAAGCAGCCCCCTCTCCAGCTGGATGTGTGTGGCCCAGATGATGGAGCCCTGGCTGGGTAGACATCCAGGGAAGCAGCCCCCTCTCCAGCTGGATGTGTGTGGCCCAGATCATGGAGCCCTGGCTGGGTAGACATCCAGGGAAGCAGCCCCCTCTCCCGCTGGATGTGTGTGGCCCAGATGATGGAGCCCTGGCTGTGCAGGCATCCAGGGAAGCAGCCCCCTCCCCAGCTGCGGACCCAGCGAAACAACGAGAAAATGGGGTTGAAAATGATCACCATGACAAGCAAAATGATTTTTTCTAAAAAGGCAGAATGAAGCTACGCTGGAGCCGAGAGGAGCCTGTGATCGAGGGTATTTATGTGAATTTTTTCCATTTGTCACATTGATATCATCTCCTCGTCTTGTATTTTATTTTTATTATTTTACGTTGAATTTTTTCTCATTTTGAGGCCGAAAAAATGACAAAGTGTTTTCACCGATAAACCCTGCGAAGCCCTAGACCTCTAGGGCTTTGCAGGGTTTACTGGTAAAAACACTTTGTCAAAATTTCACTCGCTCGAAAAAATGACAAAGTCTTTTCACCGATAAACCCTGCGAAGCCCTAGACCTCTAGGGCTTTGCAGGGTTTACTGGTAAAAACACTTTGTCAAAATTTCACTCGCTCGAAAAAATGACAAAGTCTTTTCACCGATAAACCCTGCGAAGCCCTAGACCTCTAGGGCTTTGAGAGTTTTCCCGTTTCAAGGAGTTTACCCCTGATTCACAAGCTACCATCGGCACGATTTCAGAAACCCAGTTTTTGAGAGGAAAAAAGTCACAAGCGAAAATTTTTCTAAGTCCACACCTCCAGGGCCGTTTTAGAGGGAACTTCCCCGCGATCGAGGTGCCCCGGCTGGGCAGAGTGCAGAGGCTGTGGGGCCTCCGGGCTACCAGGACCGTTAACATCCAGGAGAACCAGAGGTGACAGGGGCCTCTGGGCGCCGCTTTACCCGCCCAGGGTGGCTCTCCCCGGGCATGGCGAGGTGCTTTTGGGTGCCCCACCAGAGTCAAGCCCACGACTCTCTACTTCCACAGCTCGACTCCCAGAGGTGACAGGGGCCTCTGGGCGCCGCTTTACCCGCC